GAGCCAAAGGAGCCAAAGGAGCCAAAGGAGCCCTGCTCAGATCACGCTTCCTAAGCGTAACAGAGATGGATGCACCGTCTGACTTTTTCTTTGGTCTTGAAAAAAAAAATGGACAAAGAAAGATTGTTCACTCCCTAAAGACTGACTGTGGTTCTACTATCTCAGGTTCTTCTGAGATCAGGAAGTTTGCTGCCAGTTTCTATAAAGACCTTTTTAAGAGTGAACATTTGGTGAATCCAGATGTGAGCGATGGTTTCTACGAAGGACTTCCTCAGGCTGATGCTGAAGCTAATCGAAAACTGGAGGCTCAGGTCACACTGCATGAATTTCATGCTGCCTTGATGAGCCTAAAGAACAGTAGATCCCCTGGTATGGATGATCTTCCTGTTGACTTCTACAAGTCCTTCTGGTCTGTGATTGGTGAGGACTTGCTGGACGTGATCACAGACAGCCTGCAAAGAGGTTGGCTGCCTCTGAGCTGCAGACGGGCAGTCGTTACTCTGCTTCCAAAGAAAGGAGATTTACAGGATCTAAGGAACTGGCCACCAGTCTCTTTACTCTCTACGGACTACAGGATTCTTTCCAAAGTCTTGGCTACCAGACTTAGAGAAGTTATGTCTACAGTTATTCACAGAGACCAGATGTATTGTGTGCCTGGCAGGTTGATAAGTGATAACGTCACTTTAATCAGGGATGTTTTGGAAATCTCCAGCTCATTGGGCATAGATATTGGTCTGATTTCTATAGATATTGGTCTGATTTCTATAGATATTGGTCTGATTTCTATAGATCAAGAAAAAGCTTTTGACAGGGTTAAACACCAGTATTTGTGGCAAACTTTAGCTGCTTTTGGTTTCAGCCCTGGTTTCATAGCTATGATCCAGGTTTTATATCATGACATTGCGAGTGTACTTAAAATAAATGGAGGTTTAAGTGCTCCTTTCAATGTTTCAAGAGGTGTGAGGCAAGGCTGTTCTTTATCAGGGATGCTTCATTCTTCGGCAATTTAACCTTTGCTTCATAAATTGAGGAAAGATTTCTGTGGAGTTTCTATTCCTGGGTGCGATGTCTCTTTAAAATTGTCAGCTTATGCTGATGATTTAATTGTTTTTGTAAACACACAGGAAGATATTGATGTTTTAGTCAACACTGTTTTTCATTTTGGTTGTATCTCTTCTGCAAAAGTAACCTGGAGAAAGAGTGAGGCTGTAACTGGAGGAAGTCGGTTGGGGGATCAACTCAGTCTGCCTGGAGGCTTAGTGTGGAAAAAGGGTGGCCTTAAATATTTTGGTGTGTTCTTGGGTAATGAAAAGTTTGTGCAAGAAAATTGGGAAAATATTTTGGATAAAGTTAAGGGTCGACTTTTGAAGTGGAAGTGGATTTTACCTAAAATGTCATATAGAGGACGAGTTCTTGTCATTAATAACCTAGTTTCTTCCACCATGTGGCACCGGTTGATGTGTGTTGATCCTCCAGTTTTATCAAATGTTCAAAGGGTTCTGGTAGATTTCTTTTGGGATAAACTTCACTGGATTCCTCAAAGTATCCTGTTTTTGCCGAGAGAAGAAGGTGGTCAAGGCCTGGTCCACCTGGCCAGCAGAGGTGCTGCTTTTCGTTTTCAGTTTATTCAGAGACTGCTCACAGGACCTGCAGATCTGGTGTGGAGGAGTATATCTTGCTGCATTCTTCGGGGATTCGGTGCCATGGGTCTGGATTTGCCTCTCTTTCTGATGGACTCTAGCAACTTTAACTCGTCTCTTCTTCCAGTTTTTACAAGAGTATTTTCTCTGTGGTCTTTGCTGAGGAAGGAGAGACAGCAGCAGGCTGAGTCTCTACACTGGCTACTCCAGGAACCGGTTCTGTTTGGGAGTTTGTTGGATTTTCCTACTTGGGGGGCAACAACCTGCCCCAGACTGCTCCACACTGCAAAAGTGTATTGCCTTGGGAGGGTGGTGGAGCTG